GTAATGGGTGTCATCACACAGTGGGAGCCAAGTGGTACCAGCACTTCTTTCACTTTGGGTTGAGGATCAGATACGCCATGAGTGACAGTAAGGCTTTGCTTTTCATCGATGAAAACTGGGAGTGAAGTTCCGTATTTTAGCCAATAGATACCAAAGGCTTAGGAGCATGGCACAGCAAGATAATGAAGGGGTGTCTGTCAGGTGTGGGGGGTGCCTAGTAGGATGAAAGGCACAGTTGGGGTAACACTGTAGAGGTAACAGCAGCATCTTCTAGGGTTTATCACAGCCTAATTTTAGGGAAAGCCATTCTAGGTAAAGGTAAGGTCTGCGAGCATTTCTCTATAAACAGGTAATGCTATTTTGGGATAAGGCCTCTCACAAGACTGGCTTCAAGCTGCTCCTTGCTTGGGCTTTGCCCTTTCTCTGTGAGCCTAAGCCCTTAGGTGAGATGAAAGGATAAGGGTGCCTAGCTACCCGAGGCAGTGGTCAGATGAGTACAAACACGCCAAAGAAAGTCGATTGCAGGTTGAGTGTGTTAAATGTTCCAATTCTTGGAACCATATGTGCTTCAGATGGGAGAATATCAGCATATACTCTGTCTTAAAAAGTGGGACGAAAATCAAAAACATGAAATGCCCACTGAAAGCAATTTTACAGATGTGTATTTAGAATGCTTTCGACCCATTACATGAGGTCAGGTGTTGAATTTTGGACCTGAGAAGGTGTCATGACAGCATCTGACCAGTTTTATCCTTGGCAAATATACAGGGGATAAAGAAGTAGAAAGAGCCTAAAAACCAGGCTGGCACTCTTGAAATTCAAGACAAAGCTGATAGCTGGCATATGCCATACCTGCAGGCCTATATGCATTACAATTCAAAGTAAGTTTTCAAATATGCAAGAATCTTTCCATCCTGGTAGACAGCAAGCTGGGGGCAGAGGCCAGCATCACTGAAGGAGGTGGGCCCTGCTCCCAGTTCAGGGTTGTGTCATGGTTAGATCTGTAGCGTGAAAATATGTTCCTCAAGAGCTGTGCACCTTTCACCTGAACTGCCACCACCGTCTTCCCTAGTGTTACCTCTTCCACATGTATGTGGGAGTGAGAGCAGGTGGTGGCATCGGTGATGAGATTGAAGACCCCGCTGGTGACCCTTATGAAATGTATCGAATTGTCTTCGACATTACCTTCTTCTTCTTCGTCATTGTCATCTTGCTGGCCATCATTCAAGGTATAGTTGTCAATTAGTGTATAGGCGCTGAATTAAGTAAATTTAGATGTAGATGTTTTTCTAACTCATCAGTTTAATAACTCATTGAGCACTTATTGTCTGTGAAGCCTTGTAAAAATAGAGCCAAAGAGCCACCCAGAAAATTCCAAGGAAGTTGAGAACATGCACAGTACTCCTCACTTTATGTATGTCTTCATCCCTTCTGCTTCCTAGATGTTTCCTGTGGCTTGCCTTACCGTTGTCTTTGTCCTCCCATGCAGAGGTGGGGAAGCAGGAGAGAAAGGAGCTATAAAAATATGACACGTCTTTGAGAAGATAGGAAGGCACTGGTATTTTAGTCAACATCTTGCTAGGAACTGAAGAAAGATGATGAATTTCATTTGAGTCATGCGGAAATGTGGTACTGATATTTAAGTGTTAGGGTTCAGAAGCAAAGACAATGAGGGAAGACACTGAGAACACATTGCTTGATAGCTGAGGGGTCAGGAGAAGAGAAGAAGTTGTCAGCACTAAAGTTCCAGAAGAGAAGTGATATGAAATGGTTTCCAGGACCATGTGCTTGAAAACACAGTTCTTTCATCCTTTAATTTTGCTGTAATCAACTAGCTCAGCTTGTGCCACTTCTCCCCTAAAACCATAATGCAGATGAAGGTACTCTGTCCTTTGTATTTAACAACCCAGGTCTGATTATTGATGCTTTTGGAGAGCTGAGGGACCAGCAGGAACAAGTTCGTGAAGACATGGAGGTACCGTTCTTTCTGTGTATCTTAACCCCACACAGGCTCCTTAAACCACCGGCAGGGCTGTTAATTAGGGTCGTCCCTAAGCAAAGCTACTAAAAGGTTTGCTTTCCATGCCTGTCATCTTGATTCCTCTGTACCAGTCTATGAGTCCTGGGCACTAATGCCCTGGGCGCTACACCCTCCCATGCCTGACACACCGCTGCCTCCTGTCTCATAACCAGAGGGAACAGCATCGTCAGCTAGGAAGGTGGGACTGTGAGTAAATGCCTAATGGCCCATACCATTAAACAGAAAGCAGCTTTCCTTGTCCCCAATTCAACTGGCTGTCAGCAGTTTCCCTTTCTCCACTGCTATGCATACTAATGCCTTTTCTGTTTCTGGTTTTGTCTTTTGTTTTTATAGACTAAATGCTTCATCTGTGGCATTGGCAATGACTACTTTGACACAACCCCTCATGGATTTGAAACGCATACGCTGCAAGAGCACAACCTAGCCAATTACCTGTAAGTAGTCTTGGTTAAGGATGTAAAACAATGGTCACAGAGTTTAGTCTGTTCATGTCACTTCTCCCTTTCTGTTTGGAAGAGGTAGACATGATCAACAAAGGTGCCCATGTGAACCAGTGTATTTCTGTCTGCTCTTCGTTAGGAACAGTTTCATGCCTAGGCCCCATTCCTCTCGCTAGCACCTATCTCCCACCATTTTCTTTCCAGCCTTAAGAATACACACTTTACCTCCAGGTGTATTGCCTGCACCTGTTCCCTTTCTGTCCTCCGTGAATGCATTTCTAAAAGGCCGCCTTCCCTCATTACATCACAAGGTAGGGTTGTATCAAGTACAGGCAGTCAGATTCATGCTGATGGCCAGTTTTTGGATATTCTGGGGAGTGTTTAATGTTAGCCATGCAAACAAAACTATTTCACTTTCCCTAGGGTCAAGCATTTACTCAAGTCATTTGAGCCTATTCGGTACCACTTATGGGCTCTATCAATTATATGACCTAATCATTCACATTCCAGGAAATGTGATTTCTAAGGGGGTAAATGAGCTACTTTCTGACCTTGCTCTCTCTGCATTTTGTTAGCATCTCGCTCTTTGAGATAAAGCAGCCCAAAGCTGGTGTTGAGTTTCTTTTTTAAATAACATCATGAGTATTTATCATGGCCACTTCTCATTAAAAGGGCTTTCCATCAAGATACAGAAGTTGAGCCCATATCCCTATGGCAGGCAGCACCAGGGAATAACAGACTAGAAGACATTAGACATCCTGGTTGGGATTCCCTCCCATGATGCTCTGGAATACTGTGTGTGCCAGGAGAAAATGTTTCACTGGCCCAGGTCTTCAGTATGATGGACGTAGGAAATTCTCAGTTTCAGTAGAGGGAAAGGAAACTATCATAGAGCCATTTCTGTGTACCAGGACCTAAGATAAAATATAGTACTACCATGTGAGAACTGAAGGTTTGGGGCTCAGGCTCTGCTGCTACCATGCAAGAGATCTTCTTGACATTCTCTTCCTTTACCAGCATCACATTTTTCTTTCCTAAAGAACACCTTTACTGGTTTTTCTATGAGCTGAGAGTGCAGCCCCTCGGACACTTGTGTGTCATGGACAGACACAAATCATTTACCACAAGTGAAACCACACTGTCTTTCCCAGTTTTTCACAATGAAAAAACAAAATGATACTTCTGGAAGAAGGAGTGTGAATTGAAAGTGAATACTGTTCACATATTTCATGACTCATCCTTGACGTGTGATTTCAAGTCTAATTTGTATTACATGATAAACTGGCCTATTGAGAATTTTATGCTAATGGGTCAGACTTTTTTTTTTAAATGGTAAACAACAGAGCTTGCAAGTGGGCTTGGCTCAAATTTGGGGGTATTCAGAAGGCTCTCCCTCACTGGCTTGGAGATGAGCATCTATCATCATTAGAAATACTTAAAAGGCTTCTTAGTTTTCAAACTGTATTTCCAACTTATCTTAGTAGTGTTAGACAGTTTGGATAAGAAGTACCTTGGGCTGGAAGGATGGGTCAGTTGTTAAGAGCACTTGTTGCTTTAGCAGAAGACCCAGATTGAGTTCCCAGCACTCAACCCAGGCACCTCACAACTGCCTGTAACTCTAGTTCCAGGATATCTGATGCTCTCTTCTAGACTCTGTAGACACATATAACTTTTTGTTTGTTTGGGAGTGGTTTTCAAGACAGGGTCTCTTAACATACCCTTGGCTTTTCTGGAACTTGTTCCGTAGACTAAGCGAGCCTCATTCAGAGGTTCACCTGCCTCTGTCTCCCAAGTACTAGGATTAAAGGTGAGTGCCACCACAAACACTAGTGTTTTAACTTAAAAAACTCTTATCTTTCCCCAGATTCTTTCTGATGTATTTGATTAACAAGGATGAAACGGAACACACGGGTCAGGTAAGAAACAAACTGCTTTTAACTAAACCTGATAGATTTGTGTTTTGTGTTGTCTTTCTTTTACTAAGTCTTGAAACTGATATCTGAGGCTATGGGGATATCTGAGGCTATTAGTCTTAAAAAGAAGTGAGAATTCTATAGTGATTTCAGTCTATTCCCCAAGTTCCCCTGGTAATCCTTCCCAACAAACAATGACATTTTCCAAACCATTGTGTTTACTGCCTCTGTATAAAATAGCTCGAGGTGGGAGGACAGTAGAGAGAAAAAGACAACGAGAAATGGCGTGGGTGGCTGTAACAAAGAGCAGGAGATTCAGAGCAAGACAGTGGGAGAGACAGCAGAAGAAAGAACGGCCGTGTATGTGGGTGACAACAGGGATGTGGAGGTGTGGTGAGAGGGTGAGTGAGTAGTTGTGTCAAGTAACTCTGTGACTAACTATGAAAAAGAAGGGTGGAGAACACAGGAAGAAGAACCCAGTTACTCAAAATTCAAACGTCAATGGATAGGAAAACTTTATAGCTCAAACACGTGGGCTCTGATCAGACCTCAATAGCATGAAATATCCACTCAACCTACTCAACGTGCATTCTTCTTTAGTCTCCCAGTTACAACTGGCATGGGATTAAATGGCTGGCAGAGGCTAGGTTTTCCCCTTCACCATGATGGGAAGATGTGCCTTCTTGCTCACAAAACCAAGCAGGTTGGGAGAGAGAACATGCCCGCATGGCCTTGCATCAATTCCTGGGTCTTCCTAAAGGAAATCACATAGAGCAAACACAAACTGGGTTTAGCTTATTGTGGTTTCATCACAAGGTGCCCTTTGTTTACATTGTTTCAGGAATCTTACGTGTGGAAGATGTACCAGGAAAGGTGTTGGGACTTCTTCCCAGCTGGCGACTGCTTTCGTAAGCAATACGAAGATCAGCTCGGATAAATCTGAGTTCAAGACGAGCCATGGTTCTTGACAGTCACCTTCTAATCAACAGAATCCCTCCTTGACACTGCATTAAAAAGAAATCTACATTTGGAGATTGATTTGGCATTTGTGCCCAAGGGACAAAAGACTCCAACTGACTGCCCACAGGGCTCCCAGTTCTAAGAGCAACTAGTTTCTTGGAATGGTTCAGAGAAATAAGAAGTCTTGAACTCCTAAATGTCATGCAGGGATCGATGGGCAGAACTACACAAAATCATGTTCAACTCATGTTAACTGCGATCTAATTTTTCCATGGTACTTGCTAGTGACTGTATCCAGAATCAGCTTGAAAAGCTTTAAGCAGCTAAAGAAATAGAAAACACTTTGTCGAAACTGAAATATCGATTAAGTGCCTTAAAAAAAATCTCTTTAGATATAGCTATGCAAGTTTTTTATGTTTGTGTTCCCGAAGGACAACTCCATTAACAGCTGTGCTGATATTCTGTCTTACTTTATGAAACTGCACTTGAAGGTTATTCACATAATTTCTTCAGTAACAGCTTATCAACCGCTGTTAATTTGAAGAAAGGCACTGTACTGAAATTTCAGAAAAATCTTAATCTTATACCAAACCTAAGTGATGCTTTATGGTCCTGTGTAAGTAGTGGAGTTGCCATGTTTTAGGTCTCCTCCAATAAAATGAAGTGCCCACTGCAATAAAGTAACACATGCCAGTTGATGGTTTGGATTCTTGTCATATACCACTTCCAAACTGACTGCTGACAAGTAGCCCATGAGCTTCATCCCAAAAGGAAATGTCCATAGACCAGAGAGTGTTTGTTTGACTAACTGCATGCCTTGTTGCTTGTGTACATTCTCTTAAATAGGACCTGTTATTCTGTAATGTCATTGGGAAGGAGAATGGAAACATAGCTGTGACATCCCCTGTCCTTAAGGAAATCTAGTAGGTGACTAAGCCAGATAACAGAAACAAAGCCCCAAGGAAGCCTCATACATGTATTCAGATGCCGTCAGAAACAGAGGTAGGCACTGACTGTTGTAAGCATAAATAACAGTACATAGTACCATGGGGTATTCTGGTAAAGGAGCCCACCCTTACTTATTGCTTCAGGCACATTTCCCCTTGGTCCCCTCCTCAGGAAATCATGCTGTCCAGCCAGTCTTCCAGTTCTTCCTCAGTGACAGTTTTGGATGTGCTTGTCTGTTCAGGTTCCACATTTTTCTCTCCAGTCATAGATGGCTTTCCAGGAACTATCAGAATAAAATCAACATTAGCCACCTCACATCGATTACAATGGTGAGGGTTAAGGTTTCCTTGGTGTTTTTTTGTTTTTTTTTTTTTTGTTGGTTTGTTTTTTTTTTTATGTCAGCCCAAATTACTACTTTCTCCTTAACAAGCAAGAAGTTCTCATTATTGATATCCCCTAAGTTTCCATCAATAGTATCTGAACAAAATAAGTAAAGGTACAGGTTTGTTCTTCTATTTATATTTAAGATGAATTTCACTGCTTATGAGTGTTGTGGAGTTTGTTTTAACACAAAGACCAACAGCATAGCTTTGTGTCTTTCCTTTTGAGGTATCCTGAAACATCATGACTCCCGAGTACTGTATGTGACAGTTATCTTAAGCTCTATCACATCAGAAGGGCTACCAGTTCACAAAATATTTACAAGTTATACACATCAGTTTCCAGCCTGCTCAGTCGATTGAAAGGCTTTTATGGCAGCTCAATTTACAGCTCTAGCTTTAATACTGCACCTGGGCTGGTAACCACTTTGGAAGCCTGAGATATTGAGTAAAAGAAGCTGTCAGAAAGGTCAGCTCAGGGGAAGCTGTGATTCGTCCAGGGAAGAGATCCCTGGGACACAATTGAATCAATGTCAGACATAGAGAGGTATGTGTAGGCGATGGGGTAGGGCTGTTCCCATAAAAAGAATTGAGAAGATGGATGGGAAAAGAAATGGAAGCCATACCGGTTTCCTCCTGGGCCACCTGCCCACCTCCTTCTGGTTCCTCAGATGTCTGATCTGGGCAGAGTCGGTCTTCCTCTTTCACGGGTTCATCTAAATGCAGCAACATGTCCAGTTCATCTTCCAGATGGTCTGCCACTGACTGTGGTGGGAAGGGGGCTTTCTGCACACCCTCTGGAGGGCTTGGTCTTAAGCTGTCTTTGCCCAGAGATCTGAGCTCAGAAATGGGCCCTCTTAACTGCATGCCCGGCTCCTTGCCATCCTCGTTTCTCCTTGGTTTCACCTGTGGAAGTTCTAAAGGAATTGTGGTCTGAAAAAGAAGCATGGTGTCAGAATTTAGTAGAGTCCTTGTGTCTGCTTAAGCACAAGAAGTAAAGGAAGCCACACAATCCTGGAGGTAGGAAACTCAATTCAGACAGCCCATGTAGTATCTCCTGTTGGAGCCCCACTTGCTGATCCACCCGGGGTGAATGAAACGGCTTTGTGGAAACATCACAGGTATGTGCCTCCCACTCGACTCCCCCCTATTATGTGCTAACTAGCTGAGAGGTGGGATTAAAAGCTCACATCTTCCTCTCCCTGGCCTGAAAGCTAACTGTATCACATGTCTATTTAATTGACAGTTAAGGCTTTAACGAAGATGACCTAGCTGTAAAAGTCACTAAGAAGTAATTAGCCAAGTAGACCTGTTCACTGTGCTTAGATACAGGAAGGGGAAGGGCCATTTGCCAAGAACAAAAGAACTCAGCTGTAGTTTGGATATAAAATGTCAAATGTGAAGAAAAACAGACTGTTGGCTACATTTATAGGAGATTCAAAACCAGGTAAAACTATAGTAGTAGAAGCCAGGCTGTTTTGTGGGCAGATGGGGATTCAAGGTAAGTGTGGTGGCCTCAGGACTGGTAATACTCTAACTCTTGATGTAGGCTGATTCCACAGTTACACACACAATTGTACATTCTTCCCTATATGGGCTATGCTTCAAAGATCTCTCATATGACTGACAGGTCTTGGTCTAAGGTTGAGAAAGGGTAAAAAGCCACAGGGATAGCAGGAGCCCACAATACATAGAATACAAAGTGTGCCCAATAGCAACTGGCCCCTGCTCTTACTTAAGGACCCAGATTGCTGGTAACTCCTCAGAACTTCAGAAATTTACTTCAGTGTGACCTTATAAGCATGGACTAGACCAATGTCAAGAACTTCAGCTGTACAGAGGGAGGTACTCTATGCTAACCCTAGAACCACTTCATGACCTCTATAAGAACCTGGAAGTTGTTTTCCTTATAATAATGATAATATTATATCATAATGAGTGCAGTTGAGAACAGACCTGAAAACTACGGGTGTGAGTGTGTATGTGTGAGCTAGTCTCTCAACAGGACTCGGGTGACAGCTTTCTTAAGATGGCTTCACTACTCTGCCATTGTACAAGAGCACACACAGACAAGCCATGAATACACACTCTGACAGCTCATCCTTCCTATTCCCCCAGCACAGTATTTACCATGATCATTTTTATTAACAGGGACCTGCCTGGGTCATCTTTCATTGCAGCTCAAGTGTTCTTACACTTCGGACAGCCAGTCCTAGCCATACCATGATACATCAGGTTCATTACTACAAGCTCTTATGGCACACTATAATTCATATAGTTTATCAGTCCTATGCATCTGTATATTTGCTTCACTAAACTGATTAGTATCAATATTTTCCAGTCGATTGAGCTCAAGGAAGAAGGAATCACTCCCACCTGCTCACCACTGTGTCCCTACTGACAATTCAGAACCTGGTACCTAAATACTCTGTGCAAACAGCCAGACTTTATAGTCTCTTTGCATCCAATTCTACAATATTTGATCCATTAAAATGTATCATATATAAAACATAACAGAATAACTTCAAACCACTGTTTTGTTTTCCTTCAAACTTTACAAAGTGACATGTCAATACGAGGCCCTCAGCTGATGACAAGAAAAGCTCAGGCTAAAACACCCTGGCAGACCACATTCTTCCCTCTGGTCCTTCCTCAGCCCCAACCCAGCCAGTGGGCAGACTCTGATTTTACCTGGATCAACTCCGCAGCAACGTTAAGCCGGACTGAGATGGGCAGCTGTTGAAGGGCTCGAACCAGTGCCTCACTATCCACGTAGAGTGCTGAATTCTAGATGGATTTGGGCAGGGGGATAAAATAACTAAGTCATTCAATGGAGTTGCTTTTGTCTGGGAGTCCATGAATAAATCACATTTAATGAGCTTTAATGTCTCGCTACCAAACAGTGAGCCTGCAGCTAGCTCACTCACACACACACACAGGCAGTGATCACCACATCAAGCTGACACCCCCAACGTGATTGGAGAAAACTAGCATTTTAAAGATATCTGACCAGAAATTTCCCCTAAGCTCAGGCTGCCAGTACTAGGTAGAAGAGAGAGAGATGGTTAGGTGGTGACATGGGATTGCCAGGTGCCCCCCAAAGGAGCTGGTAAGCTCTGCTTCTCTTCAAAGCAGGAAACAGAAGCTCCTCTCTCCAACCAGCTGCACTCAGTGTTGTAGTAGCCCTAAAAGCTTCCTTTGACCCTTTCCATCCAGGAATGAAGTTATATTCTTGCACTCTTGTCTCAAACCAACATTCCTGTTAAGTCCACAGCCAAACAGTGACTGATTATCTACTATCCTATTAGCTACCTTGTAGGTGTCCTGGTGACCCAAGGGAAGCAAACACTTAAAAGGTGGTCATAATGTCTTCTGATGCAGAGACAAATACCATCCATCACCAATGTTGGACACGGACTTTCACAGGCCCATCCAGGACCATGTCTTGTCCTATATTTATTATATGTCCTATAGGCAAAAAGCCAGAGATCCCCTAGGTTAATAGCTCTATTGTAGGAGCATCTCAAGTTGATGGGTTTATAAATGACCAGAGATGAAAACACAGTTCTTGGCACCTCAAAAGCAGAGCTTGCCACGAACGGCCCATGTTAATCCATAGTTCATAAAACAGCAGGACATGGGAATCTCTAAGTGATCTGGTTTTCCCACGGTCCTTCTAAAGCCATTCTGAAAAGGCTAGGTTTTTGGTAAGCTACAATGACAATGCTAAATGGCATCCTTTTCTCTAGAAAAAGAAATTTACCTCTAAATTATATTTAATTTAATATAATTAAGAAATTATTTATTATTATTTAAGAAACTATTTATTTAAGAAATAAAGCCCTGATTAAAAACATGGGAAGTGGTGGACAGCTCAGTGGGTAGGGGCCTGCCACACAAGCATAGACCTGAGTTGGACTCCCCAGCACCAATGTAAAAAGCTGAGCATGGCAGGACATGTATATAATCCCAGTCTGATGGGAAGTAGGAGGAAAAAAACCTATGGATCTCAGGGAATGATGACCAGCCAGTCTATCCAAAATGGCAAGTTCCAGATCCAATAAGAGATAATGTTTCAAAAGTAAGGTCAAGTACCCAGCCTCAATTAACAGGTCTACAATGCAACCACTACAACTAAAACTCGGGAAACATCACTCAATCTGGGTGGGTGTGTGTGTGTGTGTGTGTGTGTGTGTGTGTGTGTGTGTGTGTGTGTGTTCAGAAGACCAGGATGACTGTGGCTACATAGTATCTTCCAAACATACAGGAATGCTGTGCCCATTAATTCTCAACAATATAGCTATCTAAAGACTCAATTAATGACAATAGCAGTTGGCATGACATCATAGATAGTGGATCTCAAAAATCCATCCCATCCCTAGATGAAAAGCCAGATTCAATAAATGGCTGCTGAGAAGGAGTTCAGTCTTCCCCAGAGACAAACTCGCAGCAGGCTATCTGATGCCAAGTGCTCATCACTAAACATATACACATAGAAACAACACTAAATGAACTCAGAAGGGTGTGTGTGTGTGTGTGTGTGTGTGTGTGTGTGTGTGTGTGTCACATTAAAAGGTCATAATGTGAGAGGGAATGGAGTCAGAGGAGGAGCTGGAGGAACAGGAAAAAAATGTAGTATTCAGAGAGAGAGAGAGAGGTGCACTTGGATCTAACCATAAGAGAATGTGAGAAAACCATGTATGTAGTGGCATAGGCCTATTATGTCAACATTTGGTAGATAGTCATAGGAGGGCCATGAGTTCGAGATCATGCCTACCTAAAATCCTTTCTCATAGATCTTTGCAGGGAAAAGGTGGGAAATCAGTAACTAATTCGTTCCTTACTCATTAACACAGTGATGACCTTAACTACAACTATATTATTAACAGCCTTTGTGGTTTAAGGACTGACTGAAGGCCTTCAATAATTCCTGTTTATTTCATACATTTATCTATCCTACTAAATAAAGGGTAATAAAGGTACAAGGTTAAGGAAGAATGTGGGGTGGGTGGGGAACAAGGTTGGCAAAAAGAAGCAGAAGAAAAGAAAATAGCACAGAAATCTATTGCCTTAAAATCATAACCATTAACTTCCTACTTCACAACCTATAAGACATTCACAGATGGCCAAATGAACTCAAGCTTGAAGGACCTTACCAACTAGGTCCCTGTACATGTTCTCTCCAGAGCAGGTATCTGAGAACAAAATGCATGTCAGCTCTTTTCCATGGGATTCATATCTGCAATAGATATGCAGGGCTTTGGCCTTGAGAAGAGAAACCTACATTCAAGACACACTTGTTACTTACCTGCTTTGGACATGAAATTTCACCATCCCATTCTTTCTCCTCGGCAAATCGGAACTGTGAGAATGAGTCCCCTAAGAACAGAAAAAAAAAATACATATGCATAAAATATACATACACACATGTAATTTTGTACATACACACATATATAATTTTACACAGAAGACATCCAGTTTCTCTGTTTCCATTTTAGAGCACAAATGACACTGTGAACAGTTAACCTTTCCAAATACAGCAGCAACACCATCCTGCAATTCCTGGATCCAGTGCATACATCTGGGCACTGGAAAATGCTGTTGACAGCTACACTTATTTCATTCAGTTTTCACTCAAACCACCATTCCACACATCAAGAGACAATCAAACAGGCTTACAAACATGGCTATTTACCTAATCTATTTCCATCTTTCTGCTCAGTGTACACAAAGAAGTTTGTATTTATGACTTGGGGGCCAGCAAGGCAGAAAGAAGATGATGAGACTTAAAGAAAGCATCTCTGGGCTGACCCACAATGTTAACAGACTATCTCTTTGATAAGTCATAATCTTATCTTAATAACCTCCATTATAACTCCAAACTTCACACAGTCAGAATGTCAGATGCAAACTAAAGACTGTGCATCAGACCAGAGTGTGAACCATAGTGTACTACTCTGAGTTCTGGAGGGAAGGAAGCAACGATGTATGGTGGTAATGTAAGCAAGCACTAAAAATAAAATGATCCTGGCCGCAAGCTCTGTGTTCTGCCCCAGGCTTGCTTTGTACATGCATGTGCATCTGAGACTTTGCATTCGTAATTCATTTACACAGGAAGAACTCGCTCTCTAGCTTTCACAAGGAACTAAACTTTGGCCCCACTTCATTTATATTCTGTCTCCCCAGCAGCCTGTTCTTTGTGTCTCCATGCATACACTTCAGTGCTCTATCTCATCTTGTTCTTGTCATGAAGACCCATGTGCCTCTCACTCTTCATCTCCTACCTGTATTTTAAAACCCCAGGACAGGCCACTTTTTTCCCTGTGTGTTCCCATCCAGGTGAACTAACCATGGGATTTATTCATATATGTGTGCATCTATGTGTGCATCTATTGTGATTCTCCATGCTTACTGGGTAAATGTCTGTGCAACATCATTTTTACCCACATTACTTTTTAGCAGGAGAAATGAAACTGTAGAGTTAGAATACAAGAAAGAGTTATATACTAATACAAATCTACCCAGACACTTGGAGGAGAATTCTCCAAGAAAAAGTTGAAGTCTTAAGTACTTTCATTACTAAATAAAGAACAAAGGACAAGAATGCAGTTGTTTTACAGTTAGTTGGGAAAAGCAAAGCAAAGAAGCACAAGAAAAGAACCAACTTTCCATTCTTTTGGCAGTAAAGCAGCTGGAACCCAATGCTTTGCACTGGCTAGGCAAGTGCTCTACCACAGAGTTATACCTATAAACCCCATTTTTTTTATTCTTAAAGAAGTACGCACATCAACCAATCTTACCCATGTAACGGAAAGCTAGGATTATGGTCTCCTAACAGTGGGAGCAGGAGCTGTCTTTGACTCTGTTACCTGCTTTTGGGACCCTTTCCTTTTACTGAGTTGCCTTATCCAGCCTCCATAGGAGAGGAGGTGCCTCATTTTACTGCAACTTGATATAATATGGGAGGCCTGCCCCTTTCTGAAGAGAGAAGAGGAGGGGTAGATGGAAAGAGGGGGAGATTCAGGGGATGGACTGGGCTGGGAGAAAGGGAGGGAGGAGAAACTGATAATGCTGGGAAAAATTAGTTAATAAAAGTTTAAAAATTAAAAATTAGCATATATAGTTTTTCAGGTGGGCTAAATGGCTCAGCAGGTAAATGTATTTGCCACCAAGCCTGATAACTTGAACTTGATCCCCTGGGACCAATAATGTGAAAACAGAGAACTACTTCCCCCAGGTGCTGTCCTCTGACCTCTACACACTCCCTGTGGCATGTGTGCCCAGATACACACACACAGACACATACATACATACATACACCTACATCGTGGTATACACCTTTAACTGCAGCACTTGGGACATAGAGGAAGGTGGAACTCTGAGTTCTAGGCCAATCTGGTCTATATAGCAAATCCTAGGCCAGCCAGGGCTCCACCATGAAAGCCAGTCTCAAAAGAAAGAAGAAAAAGTGTGTGTGCACACATGTACGTACATGCATGTGTGTGCACACACACACATTCATTTCACTGTCATAGCCTGGGAAATTAAAGAATGAGTTATCAATACTAGAAAAATAAAAGAGATGAAAACCATCAGTTGAAAGTTAAATGGAAAATTTGAGCATAACATGAACATATACAGAATTTCTAGGAATAAGGCATAATAAACATTTATTAAAAGCAACTAGTTCAAATTTTTTGCCAAGGGATATGAAAACCAAACATCTAATTTAGTCTACAAAATCAATATTCTGTTCAAATTTCAAAAAGATTTATCAAAATCAATTTTAAAAATATGTAAAACAAAATATGCAAGGTTTATTTGTTTGTTTGCTTTTAAGACAGAGTCTCATGATGAAGCCCTTGCTGGTCTGTAACTCACTATGCAGACAAAAATGGCTTCAAACTCAGAGAATCATCTGCCTCTGTCTCCTAAGAGTTGGGATTTAAGGAGTACTCCACCATATAAGTCCTAAATATGCCTTTTCAAAGGGTGAACAATTTGTCTTCATTCTGAAAATGCATTCAAAAATCTTAATAAAATAGAGACCTACTCATAAAATAGTAAAGTGCCAAAGAAACCCAGGTGCGTGGACATTCAGACAACAGAAGAACATGGTATCTGTGGAGCAACAGTCTTTATAAAACATCTCAATTGAGATACGCAAAAACATATTTTATATGGATCAAAGATGTAGACACTTGAGGACAGCAGAACAACAATAAACAGGGCTGAATTTTGAAGTTAAGAAATTATAAATTAAATTCACCAAAATTAAGATATAAAAAATTATTTTAAGTCTTCTATGATAATAAAACCAAACTCTGAAATGGCACAGTGACAAGAACTATTTCCAGCACAGACAAAGAGCTATTGTTTCTAATATATAAACAGCCTCTGTGAGCCAATCAGAATAATGCAACCCAGGAGAAAAGCAGGACAAAAGAATGCTATGTGAAGAATGGTAGATGATATCACATGTAATAATTAAAAAACAATCTTGGTTGTTTTAAAATTAACCAACAGCTGACTATTCTATTGAATGCTGTTTTGTCATTATTTGTGGGTGCATATGTATGCATGTGTAAAGTGGAAGCCAGAGGAGTCATTCTTCAAGACTGCCCACTTTTTTTTTTTTTTTTTTTTAATTAGCTTTATCACTGACTTAGAGCTCCCAAGGCAGGATAGACTGGCTGTCCAGGTGAGGCCCTGCCTTCCCCTGCCTCCCCAGTGCTAACATTACATGTATGTACCACTACACTCAGCATTTTCTTTTGAAGTAGATTCTGGTGATCAAACTCAGGTTCTCATGCGGGAAGCACTTTGCTGACTAAGCCAACTCCACAGCCCCATTCTGTATGCCATTCTGTATATAATGAATGATCATAAGACCTTATAGATTATAACATATAGTCAGGATAAGGCTCAATAACAAGGCATGCTTTAGTTATTTTTTAATATTCCAATAATTTTAAATACGACTGACTAACTTGTAAATCAATCTTTTTGCTGAGGACTAGAATTACCCTCCCCCACAAACAAATCCATCTGAAGAAATCAGCGCTCTGAGGACAGAACTGAAATATCCAGGGAGAAGTGCACAGGCAGTTAGGCTGCCTTCCAGGACTGTTCTCTGCTCCCGGCACCTGCCAGTTCTCCACGAGGGATCTTGGAGGCAGCAAGCAACAGCCTAGATGGTGTGAAGCTGGGGGGTGGGGGGGACAGTCTCCTAATCTTCCACATGGGTGGACACAAACAGGAGTTTAGAACCACAGAGGCACAAGAGTTGTCCAGTCCTGAGCCCTGCATACTAGAAGCATAACTAACACCTGAGCAGCCCTTGTGTTGGGGGTGTGCTGTGAGTGAGGGCAAGCCTAAGACTGCAGCCAAAAAGAGGGAGTCTGACAGCAGCAAGAGCCCAAAGCTATCTCCAGCTTTATACGTTAAAGAGAAGAAGGAAAAACACAGGACACAGTAGAAAAAGACCCACAGGAGCTGACATACTGAATATTTCACAATTTATGTCAAACTGTAGAACGGAAACAGCTAAAATTGACACTCATGAAGTCATTTCCGACCCACAGAAATTTTAAGGAAAAATGAGATTATCTAAAATACTACTTTCAGTAAACATCACAATGATATAAATTAACAGTGGTTTGGTTTTGTTGTTTCTGTTTCGTTTTGTTTTAAGACCTCACAGACCAGGCAGGATTGGCCAGTGTTGGGGAAAGCGTTTGTGCGGGCCTAGAGCTCACAGTGGAAGGTTTTCTTCCGACACTACATTCCTGCTGTAACACACAGATGCTCCCTCCCTGCTCTCTCCCCCTCTTCACCCCTCTTGCCCACACCCTCTCATCCTCTCACACACATAATAATTAATAAAAATTTAACTAACTTTAAGACCTCTGAGCATATTGGGAGTGGGGGGGGAATGAGTGGAAATGGAGTTAGGAGAAAGAGAAAGGGAGAAGAGTAGGGGAGAGAGAACATGGGGGGAACAGGAAGATTGAATCGGGGGAGGAATAGAGAGCAGCAAGAAAAGAGATATCATAACAGAGGGAGCCATTATAGGTTTGAAAAGAAAACTGACTCTAGAGAAATGTCCAGAGATCTATGAGGACGACCCCAATTAACAATCTGAGCAATAATGGAGAGACCACCTTAAATGTCCTTTCTTGATAATGAGATTGATGACTACCTTATATGCATGCATCCTAGACCCTTCATCCAGTAAGCTGATGGAAGCAGAAGCAGACACCCACAGCTAAACACTGAGCCGAACTCCTGGAATCCAGTTGCAGAAAGGGAGAAGTGATGAGCAAAGGGGTCAAGACCAGGCTGCAGAAATCCACAGACACAGCTAACCTAAACAAGGG